TATTCTTATTATACCGGTATTGGTATCAACATAATACTAAGTAATACTAATTTTTCCAATGATTTTTTTACGAATTTGATGAAATTTGAATATTTATATGAAATTAAATGGATGTGTATCAAAAAATTTGATCAGTCTTTGGTATATCATTCATTGCATTCGGTTGGCTTTAGCATTTTTTTTTATAATTGAAAAACTTAAGCTTTTCCGAGTTCTTTTTTCGGGATGAGGTGGATATTTGCCCAAAAGTCGCCTCTCTTTTGAAATTAGGAATTTTTTTCCTGCATATTTTTAGAGCATGGACAATTGTCTGATATTTTTGTATTTGATTTTCCTCCGCATACTTAATGTTTACTTTTACACTTAATCTTTTCAGTTGCATAAGCATGATAAGCCAAGACGATGACAAATAAGTTTAAGTGATTTATAGTAGTTGGTTTACTCATTAAAATAATTACTAAATAATTAAACATTACCTATAGAATAAAGCATTTAAGCTAAAATAAATAGATCATATATTACTATGGCATTTTAAGAAAATTTTTCAAATTTAATAAATCTAATGACTACAGATTTGGTTAGAAAAGAAAAAGTCGAAAATGATATGCAAGATATGGCCGTCTCTCATAATTCTATTTGTGATAGATTACAATCCCAATTTTCTATCATTCGATTACCTCTTATCAAAGCACAGTTCCGATGTTCCAATCATCAATAAAATGATGGTAAAAGCAATGAAAATTAAGAAAAAAGCTGAAGAAATGACATCAACAGCAGCTAATATCGAAACTACCGATGTAAGACGCCGAAATTTATTACCAAGTCGAGACATCGTTGCAAGCACCGCAGTGGCTTCACCGGTTTATCCATGCGATGCGAAAAATTCACCAAATTATATGATTTACTGTCAGGGTGAACTGCTACATGCCGTATCATTAAGTGATATTTTCAAAGATCCGAAGACATTCGTGGATAAACCGATGAAGAAAGAACCGGAAGAGATAATCAGCGCATTCAATCAAAAATTCCCTTCCCAAATTAGCATCGATGATCGAAAAGCGCTGCTTTCTTTTGTTGATGAATATTTTGATGTCGAAGGAAGTGATATTGAGGAGTTTGTTTTTCAATTGATTTTCTCTCCATTTCAATAAAATTCAATTTAATTAACAATATTTTATGAAATTAATTGCAGATATATCTCTGGGAAATTATGCTTGCCAATGATGAATAATACACATTATCATTTTCTGAGATTTAATTTTCTAGTCTAAGATTTCTCAGTCTAGAAAAAGAATTTTTTTTGTTAAGGAATAATTTTAGGTGTCCGGAAGATACGATGGAAGACTGGAACGATGAGCCGGAATATCTGATAGCGATCGAAGATCAAGAACTACGTCAATTTGCATTGGAAATCCATGCACTGTGGAAAAAACTCTGTCATATTGTTAAGCCGGAGGTTGCCTTCAACAAATAATTTTCTATGACAATCATTTTCTTCTAGATTAAGTTTAACATTTAGTACCAAAAACTTAATTCTTTAAGGTTAAAAAAATAACATTTTATTATTTAAAGATTGTTGATGAAGGTGTTTATTTCATAAATTTTTTGGATACTGAACTTGACAGGTAAAATAAGTATTTATGAAATTATTGCTTTTTAAGTGAGAAAAACGGTGAATATATGTCAATTAACTAATTGATTTCTGTCTGCTTTTTTTAATTCTGAAAGTTTTACCTGGCAAGCTCTCGCTCTCTAACAATTAAATAATTCAGGTAAAGGATAATCCGAAACGTTATTCAGCATTATATTTGCCACATGAATTCATGATAGCAGGTGGACGATATCGTGAATTTCATTACTGGGATACTTATTGGATCGTTAAGGGTTTACTTGCCTCAGGTGTTTTAACTTTTGATAAGATAATTTAAGTTTTGCTAAATTATGTTTGGAAAGTTTAATTTCTCACTTAGATAGCCTTCTAGTTTTTTGTTTATTTTCTCTCATAGTTGCATCATTTTATTTCATTTCATTTCAAAACTAAAATTACTAAAACTGATTTATTTATAGGGCTTGAAAAGTTTTCTTGTATAATATATAAGCTTATCGAACAGAATAACTAAATTAGAATTATGAAAAAAACCGATTATTCAAGGTATTACAGTATCTATTCCGTTTTTTTTCCAAGGTATGCATGATACTGTAAAACATATACTTCAAAATTTCAAATATTTGATTGAAAAATATGGATATATACCAAATGGTGGTCGTACTTATATGCTACAGCGTACCCAACCACCGTTTTTTATTCCAATGGTTTACGAATATCACACTGTAACGGCGGATGATGAATTTCTGCTGAGTGTTATGGATGCTATGGAAGCGGTAGCATTTCTAAATTTTCTATTAATAACAATATTTATTTACATATTTGATGATTATTTTTGAGGATGGTAATATAATGTTTAAATTAGTTTGAATGAACCAAAAAGCCTTGATGATAATATGAAAATAATAAAAATAAGTTTGTGTATTTACAAAGTTCTGAATAAGTATTGAAATTATCTTTTTTTTTCATATAATTATTCCAACATGATAGATAAAATTTTAAATTTTGTCAATAATCTTTAATCCAATAAATTATTTGTCAAATTACTTTTTTAAAAAAATAATTATCGTATTAAGTGATTTTGTTTAATGTTTTTGAAATTTATTTGTAATAATTTGCTATATCAGCAATTCAATATCTACTTCAATTATTAATATTGTTAATATTTATGGATAAATTTACTAAAATACTCGGGTGATTCGTAAAATTTATTACGAAATATAAACGACAATTATTATATTTAAGTTTCACAAATGCTACAAAAGAATTTTCCTCATTAATTAATTAACACTCGCAAGCAGTTTATTAATAAATAAATAAAGATAAAAATAAAGAAGACGTTGATAATTTGATGAATAGTTTATTGGATCAAAGATTATTGATAAAATTTACGATTTCATTTAATATCAAAAATAATTAACTATGTAAAAAAGTGATGATACAGTGCTTGTTCAGAACTTTATAAGTGCATTTGCATGCAAGCAATTATATACGCGGCGGATATTTGGAACTAATTAATTGTGTAAAATTATTTTAGGAATTTGCATTTTGGAAAAAATATCGGACAAGAACAATTTCAAAAAATGGCAAAAATTATACGGTATTTCAATATATTTCTCCTGTAAATACGCCTCGGTTAGTGAACTTTCAGGAACAATCATCGTATTAGGATAATTACAGGAATTCAAAATCATAATTTGCTGATTTAGTTCCATTCTACTTTATATATCAGCACTTTTTCTTCTAAGTTCTAAATAATTTTATAATTTATGAAATAAAATTCCATCTTATAGTCCAGAAGCATATCGTAGCGATTTTCTTGCGGCCGGAAATGTTCCGGAGATTAAACGTCGACAAATATGGAGTGACATCAATAGTGCCGCCGAATCCGGATGGGATTTCAGTAGTCGATGGCTTAGCAATAGTAAAACAATGGATACTATTGAAACATCGAATATTGTACCCGTTGATTTGAATGCTTTAATGTGTTGGAATATGGAAATTTTAGCACACTTACACGGAGAAATCGGTAAAGTGTTGAACGATTTCAAATTTATCAAATTTTTACTAAATTCTTTACATATTTACTAATATCGTTCACATTGCTTAAATAACCAAACATGGCTCCAAACATGCACGGTATTTAAAAATACATTGTTAATTGGCTTCTACATTTGTTTGCATTATGGTAATAAAGAAATCGAATAAATTCAATCAATTATTATCTCAATAAATTATAGTACATTCAAGTAATTCAGTGATAAAAATTCAAAGCCCTTTATAATATCTTCTATTTAAAGTATAGAGTAAAGTATTTGGAATAAATTTATAAGTTACGTTTCTTTAATATGCATAAATTGAGCAATATATGGAAAAGTTTTTTAATAATACAGAAAAAAATTTTAGATTGTAAAAAATGAATTGTTTTCTTGAAAGTTGTTTTGAATTTTCATTTCTCATTTTCAAAATTTCAGGCCATTTTATTTTTTAACAACCATTCAGGTGATTCAAGTCGTCGAGCAAAAATAAACACTGAAAGGGCAAAATTTGTTGACACATTTGAAACGGTATTTTTTGATGATCGTGAAGGTTCATGGTTTGATTTCAATTTAAATACCGGTGAACGTGTGGATGATACGTATCCATCCATAGCTGTTCCCTTATTTACCGAATGTTATAGCAGTTTAAACAATCCAATGTTAGTTGAAGTATTAGGAACGTTACAACGTAAAGGATTATTACAATTCCCCGGTGGCATACCTGCAAGGTAATTATTTGATTATTGTTTACATATTCGATTATATAAAAGACGAAATAATTAGTTATACAAGGATTTCATTTATTCTTTTTCAGCAGATAATTAATATTTATCCGTTATTTATAGAATAAACAATATCATTCATTGCTCGTGTAATGTAATACATTTAAAGAATTAATTTTATATGATGTATATCAACTAATATTATGAATTGTAATTGAGTGATGGATAGGATAGATGAATATTAATTGAATTATTGATTAGTAACAATAATAAAGAGTAGTTAGTGATAATATGCCTTTATGATCATTGCAGTTTGATTCGTAGTTCGAATCAGCAATGGGATTATCCTAATGGTTTTGCTCCAATCAATCATATGGTAATCGAAGGTTTACGGAAATCAAATCATCCAGTGTAAGTGACATCAATCGTTTATTTCTGTATGTAAGTAAATTCTCAAATTGAAATTTGGACGTTGCAAAAACTTTCGCAACAGATTAGCCTAACATTATTTAGAATAAAATGATGCATTTAGCATTTGATCATGGGTCTTTTTCTCAAATTGAAGTGAAGACTATTAAATTGATATTCCATTTTACACTTTTTCGTTGTAAAGTTTAAAGTGAGAAAAGAAAGAAAAAAAACAAATTATTTTGATGGAAAAAATTGATGCATTTTTATTCATCAAATAATTTAACAATAGTAGATAACGTTACTGATAACTGTCAGCAGTTAAATCAATGATAAGTATTGGCTGAATAATTCAACAATCACAGATGGTGTTCCTAATAGCTATCAGAGGTTTGATTAATAATAAGCAATTGAGACAATAAATTTTAGTATGCAACAAAAGGCATTTGAATTAGCAAGTCGATGGATCAATCGAAATTACGAAGTTTATCAAAGCAATCATAAATTGTGGCAACGATACGATGTAGAAAAAGATCATATACGATCGGCAAAAAATGACGATTTTAATAATGAGGTATTAAACAAAAGCACAGTTATGTATTTCACGTGTATTTAAAAAAAAAAACTGTCACTGTTTTCACTAGCATTGTACTATGCTATTCAATCTTTAATTTTCTTAAAATTGCTTAAATGATTAAAGTGAACGAAAAAACATGAGGAAGGAAATTTTGAATTAAAGTAAAATTTCGAACAATTTCAATTTTTTATTTTTTTTTCGTTTAAATTAGGAAGGCTACGGATGGACAAATGGTGCATTGTTGGATTTAATGGTAACGTACAGTAAACGAATTCGCGTTTCCGACAAGATTGTTACAGCGGACGTATCCGAAATAATAGATAGCGAACCAATTGATATATTAATCAAAAAGTTGGAAGATGTATTCGGCTCGTGGATATCCGTAAAGAAACGTTTAATACGTATTGCTTCTTGTATTCTG